TATTTTTTTTACCCACCCGCAATCGCCCGCAAACGCAAACGCTAGCTGAAACCAGCTTTTGATTTTAAGAGGTTAAGAGCGGTTTGAAGCGATTTGTAGCGGTTTTTGTGATTGTTGCAAAACGCTAGCAACCGCCATCAACCGCAAAAGCTGCGTTTGCGGGTGGTAGCGGGGAAACCAGTCGGACCCTTATAGTCTTTGCTGATGATATGAAAGTCTTTTTTTTTAAAAACAAAATATGCATTGCAGCCATGAATGTTGAAACCCTTTTTCCAAATGTTTGCTGTAGGACCTCTGGGTACATGACAACATTGGTAAAATCAATGGACATCCTTTCATCATTGACTGAGTAGGTTCTCTTGGATTCACGTGGATGAATCTAATCTACGAGGCCCTCTCACTAAACCATCCTATCAAGGTAACCATCAACGTAATGCATGCTCTGTGTTACCTTTTTTAAGTATTCTTAGACTAGGATAGGTCCAAGGCTAAAACAGTGTTCTCGGTTTGTTTGTCGTTGCAGGAGTTATAAATGGGACTGCGCCGAACCCGGTTAGGCTTCGGTAGATGTGTCAGCACTCAGCAGCTAGGCAGCGTTCTTGGTCGATGATCATCATGGCTCCCAGTTCCTGACTTTCCACTCAAAGCTTTGCTCGGACAAGGTCCTACTCCAAGGACACAAGGTTTTACCTCTAAGAGCCAAAGAGCTTGGCTTTGAATTCTAAAGTACAAAATACGATTAAGATGCACTCAAAGCCGTTGTGCAGTAAGGTGACACATGTAAGCATCCATCCTTGTTTATACCATCGTATTTTTGGACACAGAAATACGGGAAATTCTTTCTTCTATGCCTATTTTTGTGCCTTCTTGAGTAAGACTGTATTGCCCACTGATATCTCAGTAATCACAGCTCTCAGACCTGTAGAGAAAATAACTCAGAAAAAGACACGACTTGATTCAAAACATATCACCTCAGACTCGTAGGTTATATCTAGTGACCAAATCAATAACCTTGTCTTCTAATCACATGAACAGATATGAACTCCTACACTAAGAACCATTAAAGAGCAGAGAATAGTATAGAATCTGACCATAGAAAACAAGCGATTATTCCCACCCTTCACTATCTCTCTCAACAAGCCAGAGAAAAAAGAAGCCAGAGCTTTATTAAATTATTTGTTATTCCTTGTTTGATTCGAAGCACAACGAATACTTATATAAATACACAACATAGAACAAACAGAGCAGAGACTGACTGATTGTGTGAGCTGTTTGTTGATCAACCCCTCAACGAATACTTCTTCCCAGTAAAAGCTTGGAACTTAGACTCTTCTTTCTTCTCCTGTTCCTCTTGTTTTGTCTCTTTTCCAGCTCCAGCCTGTAAGAACAAATTTAAGAGAGTAACATTCATTTGTATTTGTCTCTCAATTCCACTACAGCGTCTCATTTCATCACAAAGTTTGAGAGTGTACCTTTGGAGCTTCTTTTGGAGCATGGTTTGCGTTGCCCCCAAACACAAGCTTCCCTTGAGCCTGTCGAGCAGATTTCTCCGAGCTACTTGCTGCAGATGCCTGTCCATTGCCATTAGCAACAGCAGGCTGTTTATCTTTTGAGCTAGAGGAGGAAGAAGATGCAGGTGGCGGCTCATAAGAAAGAGGTCTCCCATCTAACCGTCTTCCAGATCCGGTGAAAGGGTTGAACTTTGGTTCAGGTTCAGGCACAACTTCCTCAGCTGAATTAAAAAACAAAAACCCATGATTAAAGTAACTCCATCTTATGAGTGATGATTCCATCCATGTCAATAGATACATACCTTTTGCCGGACCCTTAGCTGCAACAGGTGCTGTGGGACGCTCAGGCTCCTTGTAATCAAGGGGAGGTGCAAAATCAACCTCGCAGTCTGTCTCAATGATGCTGATTCCATTAGCAGGCTTTGTTTCAACTATATCTATGAAGTATTTCTTATTGTTGTATGGAACCATAATGCTATCCCCAGTGGTTAGGCATGAGTAATTCCTTAATGCAGTCTCCAAGCTACAAGGTTCATTCTTTCATCAGTGCTAGACACACGCGAATCATATGTGCAGATACTTTTTCATATACACATATTCCAAGCAATAATCAACGTGACATGGGGAAAAGAAAAGAGAACTCACATGGCTTTAGGGTTAGATATATCGAGGAAGTCAGTAGTGTGGGGCTGTAGTTTAACATAAGTTCCCTTGGGAAGAGTGACGTTTCTAACCCTCACAATGTCTCCTTCTTGAAGCAGGAGATTCTGCATCATCTGGAAATAGATCAAAGTAGCAAAAAAAAAAAATCAGGCTCATGTTTTTTCAATTGTGACAATCAAACGAGGGAAATGATACTAACCCAATAAGGCATGTAAATCATGCCTTCTTCAGCAACGAACTCAAGGACACCACAGTGAGAAACACTTTCAGTTGCAGCATTACGAAGCTCAAACAGCATGGGATAGTCAATATGCAAAGAGGCTGTGAAGTTTCCCCAGCATTAGCACTCTTGATAATTATAACAAGCCCAAAAGATATAAGAGAGAGTAAGTAATGGCATACCAAGACGATCAAGTGCTGATGGAGGCATTATAACTGCAAAAATATAATAGAACATAAGTGAAACTTGAAGAACATAAATAGAAACATTGATTGAAACCACACACATGAGTGTTTAGATAAATAAATAAAAAAAGACTTACTCTTGTCACCACTTTCAAGTTGTGGCTGCAGCAAAGAGAGAAAAGGAAACAGAAATTAGAAATTCAAGCATTCATAATTCCAATTGTGAATATCGGCGTTGATTGTTATAGAATTCAGTCATTACAGAATGAAGACGATTTCAACAAAACACAATCAGATGTAAAGAAAACCTTGTCGATAAAAGAAGCAGGGTAGCAGCGATAACTCTGCTCAAAGGTGGTTCCATGGTAATGAGGATATCCATCGAAAAACTGCATTGTAGACAAACCAACCAACGAGTGGTGGTGAGTATTTAATTAATTAATAAGCTTTGATTGAATGAGTAATGGTTTTAAAAAAATTAACCTTTTTTGTGAATTATAAAACCACACTTACCATAGTTAAACTCGTTGGTAGATATATAGAGTAAGTTTAACGCAGGCAACCCTACCAAACACAAAAACAGAAAAGTCACTTACTGAGAGAGATTGAAATCAGAAAGTACAATCACCAGGTTTCAATACACGAACATGAAGAAAAAAAAAATCACCAAATCGAATCTGAGCAGAAGATAAGAAAACTTAGATTTCGAAGAAACCATCTAAAAATTCGACCTTTTGAAACTAACCCACAAAGATGAAGATCCTTAGAAACCCCTATCTAACTCAGCAATTCTCACCTGGAAATTCCACAAAATCTGATATATTTCAGTATAAAGAGAGATAGAGAACGATACCCAAAAACAAAAAACGGAATCGAAGGGTCGCGGCGGTGAGATTATCAAAAAAAAAAAAAAGATTGAGCTACGGACCGGACATAAGGGAGAGTTTACCTCTGAGAGAAAATAAAAAGGAAGGAAATTGATTCCCCAAGCAAAGTTAACAACACTCATATATAACCAACCATACGCTGCGTATTACTATTGGGCCTACACATCAGGTGTTTAGAAATTAGCTGGCCCATTGGGTTTAGATGTAAACTCTTTATGTTTGATAATCTTCTTTTTAAGACCTAAAACGTGTGTGTGCGTTACCAAATACACTCGAGTGACACCTCTCAATCCGACCAGATATTTACCCTATCAGGAACAGGAACAGGAACAGGAAGAAGAAGAAGAAGAGCTGAAAGAATGGAGATAACACTGAACAGTGGCCACAAGATGCCGATCGTCGGTTTAGGAGTGTGGAGAATGGAGAAGGAAGGTATTCGAGACCTTATCATCAACTCCATCAAGATCGGTTATCGCCATCTCGACTGTGCTGGTAACTCCCTATTCTTTTTTTTTTTTTTTATATATTTTAATTTGGAATATGTCTAAGATTAGAGCTTACTAGTTGTAAACTTGTTATTTGAAGTGAACGCTCTTGAGCTATGTTTCTCCCTGTTAGATCTTGGTATCCATCTTAGTCTTTGTTTTAAAAATGGTTATTTAAAGTTTACAGAGTACGTTTTCTTTTTAGAATTTTTTTAGGACTAGCTTTGTTAAGCGTTTGATGAGTTCTGCATCTGATTATGTATCATTTATTTATTACTTGATGCAGCTGATTATAAGAACGAAGCTGAAGTTGGTGAGGCTCTCTCAGAAGCATTCAACACTGGTCTTGTCAAGAGAGAGGATCTCTTCGTTACAACCAAGGTCCCACCCCACCCCCCATTCTACTTAATCTCAATCTATTTCAGTTCTGATTCTGTCTTTGTTTCTTTTTGCAGCTATGGAATTCAGACCATGGCCATGTTATCGAGGCATGCAAGGACAGTCTCAAGAAACTTCAACTTGATTATCTCGACCTTTACCTCATTCATTTCCCCGTTGCAACTAAGCACACTGGTGAGTGAGATTGATAAGTCTCATGTAGCAAATGCTCCTCCTATTTGACCCTCTCCGTATGTTTGCTTGCAGGAGTTGGAACCACCGACAGTGCCTTGGGCGATGATGGGGTATTGGACATAGATACCACCATTTCTCTGGAGACTACATGGCATGACATGGAAAAGCTTGTTTCTATGGGTCTGGTCCGCAGCATTGGTATCAGGTATTATCCTATCTAAAATGTGTGTGTTTTTATTAGAATCAAGTGCAATTTCTCAGTACATCCACTCTCATTTTGTTTCAGTCGTCTGATAATTTTTTGTTTATTATCATTTGGTTGTTTGCAGTAACTATGACGTGTTTCTAACGAGAGATTGCTTGGCTTACTCCAAGATCAAGCCTGCAGTGAATCAGATCGAGACACATCCTTACTTTCAACGTGACTCTCTTGTCAAATTCTGCCAGAAGCATGGTATTTGTGTCACAGCTCATACTCCTCTCGGAGGTGCCACAGCCAATGCAGAGTGGTTTGGTACCGTGTCATGCCTAGATGACCCAGCTCTCAAAGTAAGCCCACCCACCTGATTATAGTTTGGATTGAAACAGTCACAAAAAGATTGAACCTTTTGACTGTTAAAAGAAAAAGGACTTGTGTTAATGATGATGTCTGAAGAATCCTTGTTTTTGATGTTGTTGATACAGGAAGTGGCGGAGAAGTACAAAAAGACAGTGGCGCAGGTGGTGCTGAGGTGGGGAATACAGAGGAACACAGTGGTGATACCAAAGACATCAAAGCCTGAGAGGTTGGAAGAGAACTTTAAGGTTTTCGACTTCGAACTGGCGAAAGAGGACATGGAGCTGATCAAGAGCATGGACAGAAAGTACCGTACAAACCAACCAGCCAAGTTTTGGGGGATTGATCTCTACGCTTGAATGGAATGGAGTGATGATCACACCACGCTCTTGTCACACTCTCGCAATCTATAATGAATAAGAGAAGAAGAAGAAGAAGGCCAATAGCTTCTTCAAATGATTGTGAACCTTGTTGCTATTTGAACTCATATGTTGAACAGGTTATGGTTTAATATCATTCGCATTTGATGCAAAAAAAGGTTCGAGTTTTTTTTTTTAACAAAATGCTATACACAAATGAAAGATCTTTTGAAACGTGTTTCATTAGCTCTTCTCTCTCTCTCTCTCTCTCTCTCTCTCTCTCTCTCTCTCTCTCTCTCTCTCTCTCTCTCTCTCTCTCTCTCTCTCTCTCTTT